CTTCTTGTTAAGTGTGCCTTGCCTTACCCACAGACAGTCCATGAGGTCAGCCTTGACCACCTCCCGGCATGTGCTCTGTAAGTTGCCACCTCTGCAGTCATGTGACTCAGACCCACGCTGAAGCCAGGGTCACTGACTGCCCCCAGGGTTCCCCCACCCAACACACACATTGCAGGGCACTGTTGCACCCTAGAACCATGTCAGTGACTTACAAGGCAGGGCCTGGCCTCTCTACTTTTGGAATTTGTCCCATTTTGCTGTGCTGCCTTTGGTGATCAGTTTTCTCAAAACAGTGATCCTTTACCAGGGTGAAAGCTTTTCTACACTGCAGAAGCCAGGGCCCACTCCAGGAGAGTCCATCTTGTCTGGGTAAAGGCTAGAAACAGGTAACCTGCCCATTTCTGTTGGAGACTTCTGATGAAACAAAAGAATGTGTTTCAACCTCTAGAATTTTTGGGGAAAATGATGTTGAAAGGGTTAAGAAATGATAAATCACCAAATTCTCCCATCTGATACTTACTTGCAAAGCTGTTCTCTATTAAATGAGGTATTGAGCTACCTGTGCTATGACCTTGATAGGCCCACGGCATTGGCAGATGTCAGTGCCACTAATTAATTTTTTAAGAAGTTGAAGCTCTTACAAAATTATCAAGGATGCTCAGTAGCTGGTACCAGATGTTTCTTTTGTTAAGGGAATGGAAAAGCAGTGTCACAGGTAATTGGGCTATGGATGTTTAATACCTTGATCTGAGGCTGTGGGTTTTGGGATGATTTTTAAGAAGGGTTAGGGAGAGTGCACATTCTGGTTTCTTATGTGCCCCCCCCCACACTTGCAGCATTATCTTATGTGGAGGTGTTGACTCAATTATCATTAGACCCAGCTCCTGTTAGAAGAGAGTAAATGGTACTTGGGGCCTCTTTATCTGTATGGTTTTGCCACAGCTGAGGTGACAGCCTGTTCTAACTGAATTCAGTCCTTTTTTCCTCCTTCACTGTGGAACAACAGGAAAGTCAGCCGCTCATCTTGTCGGGTACAGACTTTACAGCCTCTGAACAGCCTTTGCTTTTGCAGTTTATGAATGCACCATTTGTTATTTAGAGTACAACTGTTAGATACAACTGGCCTCTGCAGCCCACTCTGCCCAAGACCAGTGAACATCGCTGTGGCCTTTTTTTTTTTTTTTGCATAGGCCAAATTTTTGCCTTAAATACCACCATTTTGTTCACACTAGAATTTCTTTGACCCAATTTACATTTTTCACATGTAAGTTTCAGAAATAAGCCTTTAATTTGTTCAAACTGTTGGGTTGGCAGTCCTAAATAAGTGAGAGTATTGAAGGAAGAGATTGATTTTGTGCCTTAGTTATGTACATGTGCTTAAAAAAAAACAAAAACCCAGACATGTGACTATAGTTTTATTTTAAATTGGCTTGAAATTGTGAAGTTTTACTACTGTTTTCTAGGTCTTATATATATTTCTTTTTGACCTTGCACATCATCTCTTTGTCATCAAGTATTCAGTTAAGAATTTAAGATTGATCTTAAATGTTCTCATAACAAAAAATGAGTATATGAGGTGATGTGTTAATTAGCTTGATGGAACTATTTCACAACATATTTGTACATCAGAACATCTTGTGTACACTGTAAACATGTACTTTTTTTGGGTAGTCTAAGGATTGAGCCCAGGGCTTAGTGCTATACCACTGAGCTGCACTGCCAGCCTGACAAATTATTTGTCACCTATGCCATAATAAGAAAATTATTAATTGAAAAAATAATTTAAGTGAATCTGTCAAAAACTAAACTCTGTAATGTGGTATTCTGAAGTATTTGTAGACAACTTTATCCTTTTTCTTTCCTCCTGAACCAGGGTTTCCTCCAAAAGTGATACTATTAATGTTAGAATTTTTACTAGTGTTTTTTTCTCTTTCACATGTACATTTTTGGCCCTATGTAATTAATTATAATAGATATTGTGTTTTGTTATCTCTGTGGGCACAATTCCTTCTTTACAGTTCATTTCACAGTATTTTAGTTAAAAGAGTCTTAAAATCTTTTTCTTCTGTGTTTTAAATATTCAGCAACTGGGCCAAATTGTTCATTCTAACTGCTATCAGCCCTACTTTGGCTGAGGAGAAGAATTTCTGTTAAAATAGCACTAAGTGTCCTACAGCAATCAACTCCACATCCCTTGATATCCTGGAGATTCCAGAAATGAAGCAGTCATTTGCTGAAAATTAAGATTTCCATATGTAAATCTTCAGGTAGATATATTTATTTGATGTCTTTCAAAGATGTTATGGAGACCCTGGGTTGCATTTGGCTTTTGCTAAAATGGGTACATACAAACATGCTTAAGGGGAAAGAGTCCAATGTTTGAGATCTGTGCTCTTCACTTTACTGTGTGGAGAGGAAGATCTCTTTTTGTAAAGATTAGATCGCTACCTGAGGAATCCTTAGAGTTGATGTGAAGGCAAAGCAGACATAAGCAAGAAGTTGGGGCAGAGGGTAGGCAAGCTCTTCTTCGAATGTATCATCCAGGAACAGGTTTCTTAGCCCTGAATCCATTCTCATTTTCAGAGCGTGTTTTACCTATGTGTTATCCCACATTTTGATGCTTGGATTTGATCTACACCTTTAAACTATGTGAAGTCTCATTGGTCTTTTCTCCCTTTGCTGTAGTTTCTTGTGTGATTAATTAGGTGTATTGCTTAAAATGGCAACTGAAACATCACCAGGAATTTTCACCAGGTAGAAACTGTTTTTTCCTGTGTCAGAACAACCAGTGTGGCTTAGTTGATGCTTCTGTTGCTAAGCAGGTACATTTCTGGTCTGAAGCCTGCCCGTTAACCCTGTAAATGCCTAATGGCAAGCAGAAAAGAAAAAAAATAATTTTGTCATTCTTTCTCACATAGTATTTGTTGGAGTGTATGAAAACTGGACCTAGCTCAACCTAATCCTGAGTTACCCATTTTAGTGGGGAAGGAGAAGAGCTGGGGGACAGCGGGGGGGGGGGGGGGTGGCAGTTTCCATTGAGATGATAGCTCCAGTAGCCGAGAGTCCAGGTCTCAGTTAATGTGATCAAAATTATGAGTTTCATTTCAGTGAGGAATGGGTTTAGCTATTTTCTTTGGGAGTCTTCTCTATACGTCTTACTTTAATCACCAGTATGGTGTGCGAAAGGACAAGGGAAGAAGGGGTTGCAGTTTGCATTCATTTGCCAGAAAGGAGTTAACAGAACTTGCCGCAGAACAGGTTGGGCAAGACTGTTAAAGCCAGTGATGAAGTCTTTCTCTCTCTTTCCCTCTCTTCCTCCTCCTCTGCTGCCCCCACTTCTCCCGAGATTTTAAAACATCTTCAGAGATCACACACACTCTCGCACGCTCCCCGCTCCTCATTTCAGTGTCTGGCTTTCCCTATCCGAGGCAGAACCTTTGATGTGAATAAAATACTTTGTGCAGATGAGGAGGCTGCGCAAGCAGGCCGGCAGCCGGCTGTGGGACTCTGCCTGGCCAGCTGTTTCTCCAGCAGGCGACGGTGCCCTCTGTCATGTAACATAGGCCCCATTCAGCAGCAGCATTCTTGAGTGTGCATTTATGCCTCTGTGGGACTGTGGGGTGGATGGCCTGGGCGGGGGCGGGGGGGGGGGAGTGGAGGCGGGGAGGGAGAAGGAAGTGTGCGCACAGACAGCCGTGGAGGGTGGTGCGCTGGAGTGGCTGCCACTGGGGTGCCAGTGAGTCAGGAGACTTGCTGTTGGAAGCATTAGCAGTTAGCTCTGACTTGTGGCATGCCTGGGGGCCCTAACTGTGGAGGAACCAAACTCTTTAAAAGCTAGTTCGGTCTGATATAAGTTGTGCATGGTGTTTTCATCCGTCTACTCCATAAGCACACCATATATAGTCATGCTGGAGCTCACTAGGACACCATCGCAAGGGAACGTTGCTAACACACAGCTCCTTTGGCCTCAGAAGCAGACTCACTAGGTGCTTTCTATTGTGCTTGCCTTGCTTTCTTCCTTTTGGAGGGCAGGAGGCGAGAGGAGAAGGGACTCTTTTTCTATCTTTACACTGTTGAGTTTGCCTGCCCTCTGAAAGCTAAAGAATTGTATTGTCACGCAGGAGAAACTGAGTTCGGTGTGCATCTGTTTTAGGATTCGAGCCTTGTTTCTGTTTGTATCGTTATCAAGTGTGTTTTGTGTTTTATGGTTCCTGGTCTCCCACTGTCTGCTACTAGAGCACCTTCTGACTTTTGGAGGGTGCGCTGTTCCCTGTAATGTGTATTATTTATTGGTGGCCCTGTCTCCAGGGACTTATGTGTGTGCTTTGTGTCTCTTGTCCCAGCCCTTTCTGAGCTGCTGAGTATGTTTATACATCACCTTCAGATGGCCAGGGCAGGGCAGGCAGCTAGCTCTGTGGAACCCGTGGCCGCCGGTTTCCACTTGGCAGAGCTGGGTCTGTGGAGTGGGGAGGAGACAGTAACGAGAAAGAAATGCACTTTTGTCCCCCCCCCCCCCTTTGGAATACCCTGGGGACTGCATTTCAGCTTGGAGTGAGCTGGGTGAGGCATTTGTGGTCCAGATAAGAAGTCTTCTTCCTTTTCCCTCTGTTTCCTTTTCCTTCCTTTTGCCGCCCACCGCCCTCCACGCCTGATGCCTTTCTTCTTAGGCCATGTAGGTGGGTAAACCTTGAGGAGAAGATGGCTTTTGAGTGGGATATTCGGGTACTATGTAAAAAGACAAGACAGGCGCTTTCTTTGCCTTGTTTTCTCTCGGTGGCCTCAGCAGAGTGAATTATATCTGTGTGACAGTTAATTGTACCATCCTTCCCCTTTCCTAAGCTGATAAGCCTCTCTGTGTCTGTCTCCATCAAGCTTCTTTGTTTGAGAAGTTCCTAATGCAGTAGAAGAACAAAGTGACACTTTTTCTTACTCACTGAAGTCTCTCGAGCATATTTGTAATGTCCTTTATCATATTTTTATTTCTTCAGTTTATATAATTGAATTGTTCTGAGTAGTAAAAGTGACTGATAAGTTAATATTTTCTTAAAAAAATCAGTTTTTTTGAAGGAAGACAATGTTTTGGTTTTTTTTTTTAGAGGTATTTGTATTTATTTCTAAACCCTGAAGAGAATTTGATGAATAATGTTCAGAATCAGACACTGGGACCTGCCAGAGGACAAATAACAATATGAATAGCAGCTGATTTGCTAATGTGCAGTTGACTCAAGGTATACACCACTTATGTAGGGGGTCACTTATTTGGGCATCCTTAGGTCCAGAATATTGAGCTGATGTGCATGTAAGAGCTAGTGGGATACACATTATTGGGGGGGTTGTATAAAATAAAGCTTTCAAAAGTCACAGAGGTGATAGGAAATACTGATGCTAATACTCCTACCCTTGATTTGTGTTGATCCTTTAAGCCTACACTCTAACACTGTTTATTCCTACTGTACAAGTGACTGACCACCTTATGTCTCACATTTCTCAGTCAACTCCAAATTAGAGGCCAGAATTGGGGGTTGAGGGTGGAAACGAGCCATCGGTAGGAGGTACATTAATGACAAACAAGAAGTATGTCAGGGGATGGGACAGGAATGGCTAGTTACCACCAGGGGAAATTAAGGAAACTGGACAGAGGAGCCCTCTGTGTTCTTTCTCACATCTGCATGGGCATCCACAGTGATCTCATAAAAATTTCAATTAAAAATACAAGCACTGCCAACTGAGGATATAGGGGCAATGCTGAAATAGAAGAATATTGACTAGTTTCCAAAGGCAGCCTTGTTAGTAATTATTCACTGTGAAATGATGGTTTTGAGTCATTCCCCCCATAGGTTAAATTAATCACATGTTGATTCATCATACTCTTAGGAAGTTTAAAAGATACTTTTAAAAATGATTAACACTTAGGGTTTTATACAGAAAATTAATTTCTGAGTCCCCCTCCCCTATTTTCAGCAATGTGCAGCTACTCTGTGAGAAAACATGAAGTATTAGAATTATCTTTCAAGTGTAGTCAGATATAAAGTAAAAGTTTATTTTACTTGGACTGCAGGAAAAAAGCTGTTTCTTAATAGATTCAAGTGATGTCCAAGTACCATCATTAGGTGGTTGACTTTAAGCCATCTAATGTGAATTGGAAGGAAAGAGTGTCCCCGCTCCCACATCCCACCTGAAGACTCATTCTACAAAGGATGCAGTCTTAGTCTGGAAGGGACTCAAGTGGTCACTTGGTCTGTTTTTATGAGTTTGTCTATATTCTACTAGATATTCTGGCTAGTGTCTAGAATTGAACAAGTTATATGGAATCGTGTCCATGTGATTTGCTTTTCTGTTTTCTTTTTTTTTTTTTTGGCCAGGAGAAATGTGATACTAACTTGGAACCAAAATATGCTTATTCTGCAGAATTATTAGATTTATGGGGGGGGGGGAGTTGTTTGCTTTAATGTTACTTGCTAATTTTATTCTCAGTAGCTCCAATTTTACAGGTAGAGAACATTTGAGCACTCCATGGTGATACATCATAGTCTCCCTTGATAATCCAGTATGGACATTTTTATAGAAATCCTAGGGTTAAAAACTATCCAAAGTTGCAAATACCTGCTAATGGTTCTCCAAAGGCATTTTGATTTGATCTGCATAAGTACTGACCCAGGTTTCAATAATCAGACTCATAGCTACATCTTAAATACTTGCATATTAACTCTTAATAGTATCAGATTTCTTTTATAGTTAGATTTGCTGTGATGCATTATTAACCTGTGCATAAGCCTGCTAAAAACTTTTTCCTTCCTGATTCAAATAGGTTTATGGTGTTGTTTTGGTGGGTTTTTTGTTTGTTTGTTTGTTTTTGTAGCTTAGGAGTTGTTCCTGTGAGAATTTAATTAGATTTGAAATTTGAAAACTAGAATTCGTGATTACTGCCAATGATGGTGGAGAGTATTCTCTTACAGAATATATGTTTTTGACACTGTCGGGCAGGGAAAATGCATATGAATTGTATATACACAATAGGGACTAGTTTTCTGGATTTAGACTCTCAGGGCAGATGGAAAAGTAATAAAAACAAGGACTTCCCAAGAAGCAAGTAGCAGGTTTACAAGCTGACTCTTTGGGATGGGGACAGCACAGAGTGGACTTGCAGAGTGTGGCTGAGTGGTAGAAGATGGGGGTCAAGATTTGTGACAACCTTGCCCAAGTGATCTGTAGCTGGTTACAGTGCAACTCAGTTTTAGCCGATGTGCACAACTTCTGGGAAGGCTGAGCCTCAGCGACAGTTGTTAGAGATCCCAATGGTGGAGGTAGAGATGCTGGGCACAGAATGGAACAGTCACTGGCTGCTTGGAGATCAGCCTCTGTAAATCATAGGCACCAAAAACTTGTGTGCCACTGGAGTCACTGTGGAGAGAGCAGGAGGGTACATGCTTCCAATTGGTGTTCTGATGCCCTTTAAAGTGCCTGGAGCACTTCAGAGACACTGCAGAAATGTGTTGGACAGTTATTAGCATCTCAGTACATAGCATCCATTGTTTTTTAAAAGCTTTCCCCTTTACAAAATCCTAATCTTCTCTATATAAAGTAAATGTCAGTCTACTGTAAAAGCTGACCAAAATTACTTTTGTTTTACGCAGCATGTTAGTTATAAGGACGGAAGTAAAAACCCAACGAGAAGAATTTGATCAATTGATTTAAGATTGTTGGAGGATTGAAGTGTTACTTGATTGCTGGTCTTATCCAGGATTTTGAGATTTCAAGGAAAAGTGGACAATGGCTGCTTTTATCCTAGGGATTTCAGCAGTCATATGATCTACCAACCAGCCCCCAGGAACAGCAAGCGCCGGCAGTCTCTGTGCTGAGGAGTCCGTGTAGAGGAGGAACGTCAAAGTGGGTGGCATGTGCTGGCTTAGGAATCATTTAGCCAAGAACTGGTTTTGGTCATGACTATAATATATGCATAACAGTTGCATTTTGTAGAGACAGGACACATGAATGGTCTGAGATTTATTTGGTCGAGTTGGTGGAGCTTGAGGAGGCAACAGGAGGGATGCCAGTGGGGATCAGCAGTTTCCTGAGGAGCCCAGGGGAAGCTGTCATGGCCAGGTTGGAGACAGGGACAGTGGATCATCTTGTTAAGCCCTCTCAGAGAAGTTACTGGCGTGTGGACCATGTATGAAATCACACACCTCTTTGGGCATAAGTAAATGGAAAGGGGATTTTGGCTATATAAAGGATACCATTTGTAAACTCCCAGGAATTTACTTAAGCTTGACTCTCTCTTGTGGTGAACATGACTATGGAGAAATGAACTGAGCAAGTCAGATCATAGAAACTGCATGTCATTGCTTTTACATGGCTTCCGATTTCTGAACATTGTATGCTCCATTGTGTTCCTCTCTTGCAGGCACACATGCAAGAACTCTGATTTGAGGAGACAGGATAAAGGTTATAAAATCACCTGACTGAGTAATAGGGAATTGAGTTCTAGCAAGATTGATGCCAAGTTTTTTTTTGGTAAGCTTTTATAATAAATCAACTTATCTAATTGTACATCATTCCTGTTATTGCAGTATTCTAAGAGGAATGTCCCCTCCTGTTAGCTCCTTATGAAAAATAAAGAATAGTCTGGTTTGGGGGAATATATGGAGACTTCATTGGTCTGCCTAATATAAGTAATTCCTGTGATTTTTTTTTTTTTTAAAGTAAGCTCTTACTACTGTTAATTTCGGGGGTTGGTTATTCTTTTTTAAGATAGGGTTTCACTATGGTCCCCAGGCTGGTCCTCATCTCCTGGGCTGGAGTTGTTCTATCATAGCCTCCTAGTAACTGGGACTACAAGAGTGCACTATTACACTAGCCTAGGTTTTCTTTATTTTTAAGTAACTTTTTTTAATGTTTTCTGAAAGACATGAAGAAAAGAAAATCTACTCACTTAAATTATCTACTCACAGTTACTATTTTTAAAAAAATTAGAGAAATTCAACTTTAAGTATTGGGGCCTTTTTATTATTTTCCATTCTGATTTTACAGCTGAGTTACAATATGTGACCAGATGGATTACATGAGTGTTGACCTTTTTGGGGAATGCCACATGCAAGTACCTAAAGAGCTAGAATATGACATACCCAGAGAATGAGGTGTTCAAGGGGCCCTCAAAAGAAGCACTGATGCAACAAGGTCCTATCATCTCAGGGTTGAGCTTTGCCAGTGCTGGATGGGACCACAGAGCATTGAGCTTCTTAATAAATGAGTCTTGTGTCGGATTCCATCTCTTGGGTCCCCTTCTTCCTCTGGGAGAAGTCTTTTCTGCTGTCCTTTAATAAAGCCTCTACTTTCCACTCTGAAGAAAAAAAAAAATGAGTCTTGTGCATGTGTACCAAAGGCCTCCTGCTCTCTATAGACAGAGAATCTTTTTTTGTGTTCCATTCCACATAATCTGGTAGATAGTATACTTTTTTTTTTGCTACTGGGGATTGAACCTAGGATTGCTTTACCATGAGTACATCCTTAGCCCTTTTTATTTTCTATTTTTGAGACCAGGTCTTCCTAAGTTGCTTAGGGCCTCATTAAACTGCTGAGGATGGCCTCAAGCTTATGATCCTCTTGCCTTATCCACCGGTAGATAGTATACTGTGAATAGCTTATTGCCTGCATGTTAAATTGCAAAATGCACCTAGGTTAGCTAGAAACTATGATTTTTTATTTGTTTTTTATTTAAAGCAGTTCAGTAGTTAAGTGCTGATGAGATAACCTAATTTTGCCCAGAGAAAAAGGTAATCAATTCACACATGAGTAAATAAAGTCAAAACCTTGTACTCTTGGTCTGCTCTACAGAGGCTGATTAAAGTCAAAGGATTCCAGTAGTGGGAATACACACACTCACACACATACATTCATACACACACAGATACAGACACTGTATCAACAGGAGATTAATTCCAGGACTCCCCCTCCCCTTGGATAGTTGTAATCCTCTAACATCAGCCTCCCCAAGTCACTGTGATTGCAGGTGCGTGCCATCATGCCCAGGTTCCAAATTCTTCAGTGTATTTACCGTTCACGTTGTTAATACTTCTTAGCATATTGAGGTTTCTAAATTATTAGCAATTGTTTCGTAATCATATGCTACTAAGGAACTTTTATATTTGATGAAACACTCAAAAAGGGAGGTTAAAAAATCTGTTTTGGTAAATGGAAGTTTATGAGAACAAGATAGAAATCCTGGCTGATTATAAAATACCTTTTCTATGCATTTGATAGGTTGGACTGATGGTGAAAATAGGCTTTGTCTAAGTCAGGTTAAGCTAAATGATGCTGAGGTATCAAGTAAACCTTGAAATCTAAGAGGCTCAACCCATAAAACACCATTACTTGTTCATATGAAATCTTTGGTTGGGCTAGCAGCTCCTAAAAAGTGGCTCAGGGAACCAGGCTGCTGCCCTCTTACAGCTACCCCTGCCATTACAAATGATTCCAGATGGACACAGCAAGAAAGAGTTAGCACAGATCTCACACGTAATAGCTTCAGCCTGGAAGTGATGCGTGTCACTTGTGACCACAGCCTATTGGCCTAGAATTAGGCGTGTGGGCTGCCTAACTCCAGAGGGAAAGGGGTGCTGAGAGAGATGCAAAAGAACATAAGGATAGCCAGGTGCTGTGGTGCCCACCTGTTATCCCAGAAGCTTAGGAGGCTGAGGCAGGAGGAGGATCATAAGTTTAAGGCCAACCTCAGCAGCTTTGCGAGACCCTGTCTCAAAATAAAAAATTTGGTGCTGGGGGTATAACTCGGTGGTGAAGTGCCCCTGAGTTTAAAAAAAAAAAAAAAATTTGGTAAGGATATTCTCTGATCAGTGAACCACTCTTTTACTCTCCTTTCTCATTGCATTTCTGGAAGATTTACTGTACACCTAAATAAGCTACGTAAGTTTTAGGCCTAAAGAGTAGATCTTAATGAATTAACTGTGCCATTCAGCAGTGGTTCTCAAAATGTGGTCCCCAAACCAGCAGCATCAGCCTCACCTGGGACTTGTAGGAAACAGATTCTTAAGCCCTTTTCAGGTTTTATCAGAAACTCTGGAGGGCTGGGTACAGTGGTACCTGCCTATAATTCCAGTAGCTCAGAAAGCTGAGGCTTTGAACTGATCACAAGTTCAAAGCCAGCCTCAGCAACTATCTTAAAATAAAAATTAAAAGGCTGAGGATGTGGCACAATAGTTAAGTGCCCCTGGGTTCAATCCCTGGTACCAAAAAAACCAAACAAAAAATTATATATACATAACTGATATTCATTCTCCCCTCCCTCCCTCCCTCTCTCCCTCCCTCTCTCTTTCTCTCCCTCCTCCCTCCCTCCCTCTCTCTCTCTCTCTCTCTTTGGTGTGGCTCAGCAGTAGAGTGCTAGACTGGCATTTGCAAGACCCTGATTCTATCCTTAGGACCACACACACACATACACATGCAAAAGCTGTGGAGGTAGAGTTCAGAAATATCTTATAAAAAGCTCTCTAGGTACATTCCAAAACATAGGTGAATCAAATGTCTTTAGCACCTGTTGGACTCATGGTAAGTGAATTAAGTCTGAAGTAATGATACATACTTGTTAGTGTGTATGTGCAGGACACGTGCTCAGGAGGACACGTGCTCAGGAGGACATATATGATAATAGCAAGCATGTAGGGGGTTGTACTAAATGTTCCAAATAATGTTTAAGCACCTTATAAATGTGACTCATCTATTTCCCACAACAACCATATAAAGTGAGTATTGTTATGATCCTCAGCTTAGGAAACTGAGGCAGAGAGAATTTCTGTCACTGTCTAAAGGCAGTGCCCATAAGGTCAGGCCACTTACGACAGTTGGCAAGTGGTAGAGGCAGGATTTGAATCCAGGTGATGTGGCTCCAGAATCTACTCTGTAACTATTGTGTGGTTCTACCTGCTGATCTTTGGGTGGCCACCCACTAGGCCCTGTGGTCATTTTTTCACTTTTTCTTGAATGGAGATAGTTTGTGAGAATTAGCAGGAAGTGTGGTGTGCTGGTTACAGTTCACATTTTAAGTTAAGCCCCCTCACCACGAGTTTCATTCGTTGGTGGTTTACATGTGTGGTGGGCTGGTGACAGTGTTGGCCAATCTTGGAGGTGCACAGCTAGGCAGCAGTTGCCCGTTCATTTAAAACTGAACAATAAATAGAACAGGGTTGTTAGGGTTAGAACCAGGGAGCTAGTGGGAAGTGGTTTCTCAGTGAGATAGTCGTGCTACAAGAACATTTTCTTCAGTTAACCTATGTGCAATCTCCAGACTCGAGGGAGAGGCCCTGTTCTCATCACCTTCCCTTTTTATTCTTCTGCCCTTTCATTTTCCTTCATCCATCTGCCCTCCCTGAGATGCTCATCGGAGGCCCAATTCCATCGGGGGCTCTGAACAAGGTTTCTGTTAGGTCTTTATGAGCTAGACATCAGTTTTATTAGAGAAAATGTGTTTTTCCTTCCAAAAAACGAGTTAAAAGGGTTTTCAACCTTCCATTTGGGAAGTCTAAATAGAGTTAGACCTTAGACTGACTTTAATTTTGAACTGATCAAATAATATTTTCCAAATGACATTTAGAACTGCTTGTTTCCTTGTATCTTTATTTACAGTTTGTAATTATTAATTGCCTTTTCTTCCAAGTGAATCTGTTGTGTCTGTTGTTTAGGTGGCCTTTGCTGGCCTGTGTGTTTTCTTCCCTGCTTTGTCTCTTGTGTTCAGCAGACTAGAGCTGAAAAGGCTCCTTGGCAGCTCTGCCCGGGACAGTACCAGCTTTGACTCTAGGTAGAGGATAAAGATAGCATCACCCCTTTCGGGTTTCATGTTGGCTGGGAACAGCTGCTATGCTTTGTATAGCCCTTAATATAACATTTCATCCCTGAGTTGCTAAAATTTTTAGTTTTCTCCAAGCCAGGGCTTAACCATGAGGTTTTGACATGCAGATGGAGAGTCTAGAATTTTCCTTTGAGAAACACAGTTGCTTGTCTTGGTTGTTTAGACCAGTACAGAGATACGATGGTGGAAAGAGAGAGAGAAGGTTGTTTGCATAAGTTGCTTTAAAGCTCCATCCACTTCCTTCATCACTTTAAATGGTTTAATTTGCTTAGGTACTCCAGCAGAGGTGTAGATGATAGAAGGAAATCTCAAGTCAAATCTAAACAAAAGAAGAAAGAACTGACCTAAAAAAGAGCAACTGAACTCACACTAATTGAATCACACTTTTGCCCAGACCAGCATAGGGACAGAGTGCTCTTGGTGGTCTTGTGCCTCTTAACAAGGAAACCCTGCCAGTCCTCTTGCTGGTCTCCTAGTGCATTCTGCATGGAGCCACATCTGGGTTAGAGCTGCAAAATGTGAAAGCCATTTCACATTGGCACCTGGAAAATGTATTCTCCCCTCTGGGAGACCTGGTGCCCTTGGTATTTGTATTTGGAATCCTCAGGCATCCTTTGGGAAAAAGTAATAGGCTTGCCTCTTACAGCTAGAATGTGAG